TGGAGTGGTAAAAATTCCCGCACCAATGACATTATTAACATTCATACCGATTCCGTTATGGTAAGAAATTTAAGTAATTTTCACGGGTTATCATTCGACTTTTCAAATTAATGATTTCAAATTAGTCGGATTTCTGAATTCAAGCAGATAAAATTTAAATCAAGTAATTTTATGAGAGGAATGATTACGATACCAAATATATTTTTGAAATTTCAAAGTTTGTTATGTTCAAGTGATCATATTCCAGAAACTGATCAATTAAATGCAGCATAAAAGTGTGCATAGGCGTTAAATTGTAAGCAAGGTGTGGTTACATTATTTGTTTAACTAATTTAATTTGTCGTTATCGTGAATTAACTTGTCGGATAACTTTCTCGAAACGTGTACAAAAAAAAATTTTTTTGTTCATTCAGCTCAGCAGAGTTTATTAATATTAATAGCTTGGCACCATATGGATTGCTAATAAACGATTATGTGCATAAGAATTCAATATTCACCTGATAAATTCGAGTCGCACAACCGTAATGGATTAGGAAAATTTCAATATTCTTGAGTTTTGTAAATTAATAAGTATCAGGCAAATTTAAAGTACTGAGCAGAATGGCTGGATTAATTTGCAGGACTCTTAGGGGATAAGGTGAGATAAGCCATAGATTATCCGAACAATAGAATGAAAGGCTAAAAAAGATTGCATTAGATTATCGAGAAAGAAGATTTTTATTATGACATGGATGGATTTATATGGTATTGAGTGGAATCCAGCTTGCTTATGAAAGTGTTTGGTACGTACGCGTTTGCTTTTTTTATAAAAAAAACAAACAAGTAAAAAAAATATAATTTTTTTTCTTTAAATGGTAGGAATTAATATCTTATTGCGTTTGTATTCTCGCATTTTTGTGCCCAAATTAAAGTGAAACACGTTAAATGCTATAAATGCATTATTTTTCCTATTTTGTTAATTTTTTCGTTTGTGTTATACAAATATTTATTATGTTTTCAATTTTGGTTAAATTATAAACGTTAATGAATTCCCTATTTAGGTAATTCATTTTCTGATTCTGGTTAGATAATGCTACCGATTAACAAAATTTAAACCTAATTTGGAATACTATTTATCGTGAACAAAGTTACAATCTTAAATATCTTGAATGCAATGTTTTTTCTTTTTTTCTTTTTTTTTTGATCAAAAGTATTTAATCATATAAATATAAAATAATAATTAACAGAAAAAAAAAATAAAATAAAATAAAATACCTTTTTTATATTTTTAATTATAAACATTCTATCATGAATAATGTCGAGGAACGAAACAGACTTATTGGAACTCTTGCCGGAATCGGTATGAATGTTAATAATGTCATTGGTGCGGGAATTTTTACCACTCCAGGAATGGTATGGAAGTCCCTGAACTCACCACAGGCAGCAATGATATTATGGGCCATTGGCGGTATTATCAGTATGGCGGGTTCACTCACCTATGCAGAAGTATGTTTTATTTTATTACGAGGGGGTGAAATATAAAGGGATGACAAATAACTTCTTTTTAAAATAAACGGAGAGGCGTGATAAATAGACAATAACGTCACTTTTATATAAAATGTCACACACGCGTGTTCTTTCTTGCACACCGGCTAAAAATTACTTTGAAAAATTTAGCCAATTTTTCTGAACGTTATTCTTCTTTTGGTCTTAAAAGTTAGGTGCGGCTATTAACCGCAGTGGAGGCGAAAGTGCCTATTTGCAAATAGCTTATACCAGGCCAAGAAATTTTATTAGTTACCTTTTCTCATTTATGTTCATTGTTGCAATCCGACCTGGAACTATTAGTGCAGTATTACAGGCCGTGGCACAGTACTCCTGGTATTTAATCAGCGACAATGCCTCCGAATTAAACTCCAAGAGAGGTTGGGAAAATGGTTGGCCATTTTGGCGATTAAAGTTGATTGCTATTATTACTTTAGCGATCATAACCGGATATCATATGTATAGCACTCGTTTGGCTAATTATATTAACCAAACGTTTGCCGGAATTAAAATGGTTGTTTTAACAACCATTGCAATTGCGGGGCTAGTCAAATTACCATCGATATTAAGTAATCATCCAAACAATTGGTTAGATCCAATTGAAGAAACGAGAGGATTTAGTGACTTTTCGTTTTCCTTTATTTTGGTTGGTAAATAAATTATTCATCTTTAATTTTGTCCAATTAAATTGACTTAATTTCTTTACTCTTTAGATAATGTTTAGTTACAATGGGTGGAATAATTTGAACTGTAAGATATTTATTATTGTGAAATTGTTTTGACCTTTTAATACAAGTATGATATTAATTGTTATTTTCTATTTAACACTAAAGACTCTCTGGATGAGTTTAGAAATCCAGAGAGAGAATTAATATATAGTAATTTTATAAGTATATTTGTAGTGATTATATTATGTATGTACACTACAGAGTATTTATTTTCCAAATTCTTCTGATATTATTAATTAATTAATATTTATTTATTTATTTATTAAGACTTGTTGGTCAACGTCGCTTTTATCTCTGTTGTACCAAGAGAACTTATAATTGGCAATGAAGATTTTAATGAAGTTATCGCAGCAGATTTCTTCATGAATCTTTTTGGAAAAAAGACAGGACGAATGCTTTCCCTCTTTATTATTATTTCGGCCATCGGCACTGCAGCTTCGATGACCTGGAGGTAATAACATATTTAATTTAAAAATGCCACATCTATATTTAAAAGTGTACCTCCTTTATTTATTTTTTTATTTTTTATTTTTTATTTTTTTTCAGCGGGTCTCGTGTGCTTGCATATGCGGCACGTTTAGGTTATATTCCATACTTTTCGAATGAACTGAAATGGCGAGAAGACGAAGATTCACCTAAATTCGCCCTTTTAGCCCAGTTTTTATGGTGTTCCTTGTTGATCATCCTAGTCGGAGGCGGAATAAGCTCCGACAGTTTTATTTTATTTTCCAATTTTTCCCAATATAGCGCATGGATCTTTTTTATGTTGACGGGAATTGGTTTATTAATTCTTCGAAAACGCACTTTTCGATATCGTTTATTTAATATTTACGATCCTATCGTATATTTATTTGTATTAGGAGGGGTTTACATTTCCGTATTCTCTTATTTCGTTGACGTGACGTGTCCAACATATGAACCCAATTGTAATATAAATCATCAAATCCTTAAGAGACAAGCTCCATATTTTATTAGTCTAGGTTTTTTGGTCCTAGGAATAATTTCCTACTATTTTACAATTCATCGTAACAATTAACCGATTTTACAAAAGTCGCAAAAAAAAAAAACAATTTTTTCTTTGATCAAAAAAAATTTATATGTAAATTAATTATTTTTAAATGTATAGTTAAATATAAACATAAAAGCATAATAACTACTTAATAACTTAAATATTATTTTTTTTTTTTTTAAGTATAATTTAAATAGAAAAAAATTATTAAAAATAAATAACAACGATAATAAAGATGATTCTAATTACGTTAATTATATTATTTAGAATTTTTTAATGATAATATCTTCATAGAATGATACTTTTTAAATATTTATTAAGAGAATATAAAATTATACAAAACTCAAAAACCTTAAGTAATAAATACAAAAAAAAAAATCCAAATAATCTTCTAATTAGTTTAAGAAATTTAATATTTTTATATATTAATTTATTTTTTTTAATTTTAAAATATGTTAGTATGAAAGTATAAAAATTTCAATTTTTTTTTTTTTTTTGACATATTCGCTGTATATCTATATATTGTATATTATATATTGTAAATATTTTATGGTTACCAATTTAATTTGTATTGTATTTCATTTGAGGAATATAATTATTTTTTTTTTGGCACGTGTTTGCTCTTTAAAACTAATCAGTACGACATTCAATTATAATGAAATACCATTTATGGAATATAAAAGGACTTGTTTTTCGGTTATTTTTAGCATGTTCACATTGGGCACACAAGTTTCTTCTTTTTACGGAATAAAGGTTCTATGAATCCAGGAATTGAAGAGAGTAACACTTTTGACGTTCGAAAATGCTTTTAATGGTAACAATATCATTACAATCATTACTAATAATTGATGATTGTTAAATACCCAAGGCATGCATATGTAATTGATCGAGTCGCTTTTTTTTTTTTCATCATAAAATAAAATTGGAATAAGAGGAAAAAAAAAAAAAAAAACTACTTATTTCTTGAAACAAGAACTGTTTGATTTTTGAAAAAAAGAACCTACAATCAAAAGTTTAGATCATGCTTACGGAAACACGATTTAAGGCTAAAGGGGATGATCAAACCAGGGACCGAAGATCTGAAGTTGAATATTTCATCTCCAAATTTATCCAAAATAGTTCTTTTTTTTGTATATTGTTTGTTATTTGGGTTTTCTTTTAAAAATTAATCATTTTCGATGATTTCTTTTTAAAAGTTTTTTTTTTTTTTCGTAATTATAGAAATCCTATACAATAATCTGTAACTTTGTTTCTGAAAGAGGTATAGCTTACGGCTACGGTCCTTTTTTTTTTTTTTATTTTTTTTTTTAAATAAAGTTTATCTCCTCTCGGGAAATTTTAAATAGTAAACTTTGTATGATATAAGGAGAGTAAAGGGAAATTTTGGAAATTTTCTTTCTCGTGTTCAAGTGTGTCAAAACTTGTACACTTGAATAGAATGTTATAAATTTCTCTACAAAAAAAAAAAAAAAAAATAATAATAATAATAATAATAAAATGCCTTCGCTTGATAATAATAATAACACAACCGCGGGCGGTCCATCATTATGGAGAAAAGCGACTTATAGCGCATTGGCGATATTTTCTTTCCTTTATCTCGGCATAACAATTATATTATTTTACATTCGAAGGAAGAAAATATCAGATATTCGATACAGACCTTTACGTTTGAACATTTTAAATGTGATAGCGACGATTATGCTGTGCGTGATTTTTTGCCTAAATTCGGCTTTCTATCCTGGTCAATTTCCTTGCGTATTAGTTCATTGGTCTTCGTATATTGGTTTCTTCTTGTATTGTAGTTCCTTAGCTTGTAGAGTTTTATCATATACTTGGGTAGCGAAATATAATTTAGCAAAATTAAGGATGAGTTTGGCTTACACTCCTCATCAAAGTTCTTTTAATCAATCGAATAATAATAATAATAATTATTATAATAATAATAACGCTGCTGCTATGATGCCAAATTCTCCAATGTCACCAACGTTGCGAGAAAGGTTGGATTTCCCAGGTTCACAATTACTAAATAGATTAAAAAAATTAAGACATTTTACAACTGATAAATGGTTAACGAGGTGGATTTTGCTTCCTACGATGGGTTTTGCTTTCATCCTTGCTCTTATTATACAAATATTTACGCCTGAACTCTCATTAGCTTCATTAAAAACCGACTGTAAAATTGGTCCTCAGTAAGTTTAAAGCTATGCAACTAATATTTGGTTTTATAAATTCGCATGACTTTGTATTTATAATCCCGTTTCTTTATTTTATTCTTCCTATAGATCCATTCCAATATTAATATTGATTGCGGCATTCCTGGTGATTATATGTCCCATTCTCTTCTACCTCTTGTATGATTTGCGAGATGCTTATGGTCTTCGAAATGAATTATTGGTTACGTTATTCAGTTGCATGTTTGCATACGCTGGTTATTTCGTATTTGAATTATTATTACCACGATGGAGAAATTATTTTGGTAGTTTAATGTTTGCCTGGATAACATTTATATTATGCCATACCTTCTCTATCACCATGCCAGTAATTCGATCATTTAAAGATCAATCGGATTCTATTCCCAATTCACGTTCTTTTAAGAGAGACAATAATAAAGTGGAGGAAGGAAAATTTAACCGTCACGCGTTGTTTGAGAAAGTCCTCGGGGATTCCGAACTATTTGAACATTATAAGAGTGAGCTTACACGATTTCTTTTTTTCTTTTCTTTGCACTTTTTTTCGTAATTAATGCTCACTTTTTTCACTTTTTTTTTTTTTAAAAAAAAAATAAATTAGTCTGCGCGGCAACATGTTTCTGTACGGAACTTATAATCTTCTTACAAGAATATCAATTCTTGAAAATGTTGGTGGCCCATTGTTGCACTCCATCAAGTAAAGGAATGATTCCCCCATCAACTCCAAAACTTTATATAACGGAAACCGGTCATATTTCATTTATTGAAAATCATCCCGAGCCAATAACATCCCCATCGCTTATAACTACGCCTTGTACAAAATCAATAGCTGAAACCGTATCAGCTGCTTCTTGGATACCCTTTCCACATGAATTACGTGCCGATTATGATACCTTTTATGAAACATTTTTTGATATGGATTCAGATTTGGCCATTAATTTTCCTGGTAACCTGTTAAATTCTGTAAAAAGCAAGATCTCGAATGAGAAGTACGATTTAAACATGTATGAACAGGCTAGAGATGAGGTTTTAAATTTATTATATAGAAATACTTTTGATAGATTCTTGAAAGTATGTGAACCTGAACTTACAAAAAGAGGACTTTAACAAAAAAAAGAATGACTTCGAAAAAAAAAAAATTGTTGTATTATTAGTATTAGATTTGTATTTATAATTTAAATTTGTATAATTAATTCTTTCCTATTACTCTCTTTAATTTTAATATATATCTTACTTGGCTTTTATTTATTTTATCGTAAAAAAAGCTTTTAGAATTTAGTGTCTCTATAATAAATGGTATCCAACCAAAGATTTTATTCTGAGCTTATCATTTACTAAACAAAGCAATCAAAATCCGTGTTTGACGGAAACGTTTTCTAGAACCAAAAAGTTTCCTTTTACCGAATCTTTCCATATTCTTTTAGTAGACCATAACTAACAACGTAATATTAAAATATTATTAAAATAGAGCGAACCAAAGTTCTTTTTAATATATAATCATGCGTCGCTTGCTTATAGTGTTTCAAGCAAATCATTCGGAACATCTTGCCCAATGAACTTTCAGTTTCCGAAACATAATCTGAAATTGGGCTAAACTAGTTTCTCAGGCTTGCTTGCCTTTTTGTGATTCATTAAATGCAATTTTTTTTTTTACTATTTAAAAATTCTCACATTATATTGCGTTCGAATGTCACTATCTGGTCACTTATCATATTTTTAATAAAAAGAACAGGATCGAAAAAGCGAAATTTGACGAAACTTAAAGCCAACAATATTAATAGTGTGAAATTTATGAAATAAATTTTTATTAAAAAAAAAAAAAAAAAAAAACCTAACAGCAAATATTTGTTCTCCTTCCCTACGCTATTAATAATTACGTATGCTAATAATTTTTTGTACACAAAATATAAAACGTAAAATAACATTTTTAAATTACACATAGAATGGTTAAATGTATTGTATAGTCTATTTTTAGATATAACGTTTGCTAGAAACTTTTATTTATAAATTTGAAGCATTTTCAACACTTTTTACGTTTTATATAAAATCGGTTAAATATTAAAATGTAACTTTATAAAACCTTTGCTAAATCGGTAATCTAATAATATCGATTTGAAAAAAGTATTGAGCAGACGTATCAGCTTGTGATCAAACAAACAAAAATGATGCAATATTGCATTTTTTTTTTCTAATCATTTTTATTCATAATAATTATTTACTATTCAAAATGTTTCCTGCACTTTCCTTTTATTTGTCATTTAATAATTGTAGAAGCCTTGTTAAAATAATTAGGCAAATAGAAAATGTTTATAATGCAAAATTTTATTATATTAAATATCTTTGGTGTTGTTGAACTTTTTTTCTTTTATTACTTTAAAATAATACAACTCTAAGTTTTAGTTATATAATTTGAAATCTTATTAATATATAATTATAAATATGTGATAAAAGTAATACTTCTAAAAACTAAGTTGAATTTTTTCTAAAAACGAATATCTTTCTGTATTTCAAATTGTTTAATTAATAAATTATAATAATATTATTATATATTATTTAAAAATATTTGTTCATTTAATAAATATAATTATAAAACAAATAAATATGCAGTATTTTTTCAAAATCCTTTATAATTTTTTTTTGTAAAAAAAAATAAAAATAAATATGGATCTTTTGTAATAATAAAAAAAAGTTAACTTCAAAAAAATTTTTTTGGAACTATTTTACTAAAAAAAAAAAATATTTAACTTACAAAATAAAAAAAAATTTTTTTAATAATTTCTTTTATTTCTACTTTAAGCGTTTATATATCTTTTTATATATTTTTTTAAAACTTATTAATTTTTTAAAATGTTATTTTTACTAATATAAAAATATTTATTAATTTTTTTTATATTTTAAAATATTTTACTATATATTTTAAAAATTATTTAATTATATTATTACTATAAAAACCTATTTTATTAATATTCTAACCTTTTTTTATATAAATTTAAATAATTAACTTAAAATTATAAAAATTATTAATATTTAACCATAGATTTTGTAAATATTAAGTATTAATTTTATAAATTTACTTTTTTTAAATATTTTAACTTTTAAAGTGTTACTTTTATAAATGTATAACATATTATTCTTTAATATAATTAGAAAATAAGATTGTTATTAAATCTGAAACTTTATCTAGATTTTTGTGTAATTGTAAAAACTATTAGTATTAAGGGGAGGACCAGAAATGATATCATTTGATTTTTTGGGATTTCCTCCCCCCTTGTCATAAAATCAAATAAGGAAATCATATAGTTTAATCACGTGACAATAATTTTAGCTTTGATCATAAAA